ATAGACTAGACTATAGACTAGACTATAGACTAGACTATAGACTAGACTATAGACTAGACTATAGACTAGACTATAGACTAGACTATAGACTAGACTATAGACTAGACTATAGACTAGACTATAGACTAGACTATAGACTAGACTATAGACTAGACTATAGACTAGACTATAGACTAGACTATAGACTAGACTATAGACTAGACTATAGACTAGACTATAGACTAGACTATAGACTAGACTATAGACTAGACTATAGACTAGACTATAGACTAGACTATAGACTAGACTATAGACTAGACTATAGACTAGACTATAGACTAGACTATAGACTAGACTATAGACTAGACTATAGACTAGACTATAGACTAGACTATAGACTAGACTATAGACTAGACTATAGACTAGACTATAGACTAGATAGACTAGACTATAGACTAGACTATAGACTAGACTATAGACTAGACTATAGACTAGACTATAGACTAGACTATAGACTAGACTATAGACTAGACTATAGACTAGACTATAGACTAGACTATAGACTAGACTATAGACTAGACTATAGACTAGACTATAGACTAGACTATAGACTAGACTATAGACTAGACTATAGACTAGACTAGACTATAGACTAGACTATAGACTAGACTAGACTATAGACTAGACTATAGACTATAGACTAGACTATAGACTAGACTATAGACTAGACTATAGACTAGACTAGACTAGACTAGACTATAGACTAGACTATGACTAGGCTATAGACTAGACTAGACTAGACTATAGACTAGACTATAGACTGGACTATAGACTAGACTATAGACTAGACTATAGACTAGACTATAGACTAGACTATAGACTAGACTATATAGTAGACTAGACTTTAGACTAGACTATAGACTATAAAAAGGGATCTTTTGGTACTTTTTCGTTCTTCAAATCGAATTTTTTGAATTTATAACAATATTGAACATAGAATCGTGCAATTTAGGAATCTAGAGCACTTAGTAAATGAGAACCTATAAAATGGGACTTTTTGGGCCTGAATGGATATGTAGAAAAGGAGTTTTGGTACTTTTTTGTTCTTCAAAGGTGCTTTTGAATTTTCTACAATATTAAAACTGAAAACATGGAATTAAGGAATTTAAAGCCCGTAGTAAATGAGAACATATAAAAACGACTTTTTGGTACATTTTTGTTCTTCAAAAGGTACTTTTTGAATTTTCTGTAATAGTGAAACTAGAAACATAAAATTAAACATTCAGAGTCCCGATTGAATGAAAATCAATAGGAAAGAAAATTTGCTACTTTTCTCTTTTTCAACTGGTACTTTTTGGTTTTCGTGCAATATTAAACCTAGAAACGTTTAAACAGAGTGAATTTTTCGGTACTTTTTGTACATTAATTTGTACTTTTTGAAACTTTTACAATATTAACCATAAAAAACGCAAAATTAAACACGCAGTCTACTGTTTGAATTAAAATTTATAAAAAGGGGACTTTTCGTACTTTTTCATCATTAAAATGGTACTTTTTTTAAATTTCTGAATAATAGAATCATACATATAGAATCCTGATGGAATGAAATTTGTAAGAGTTAACTTTTTGGTGCTTTTTCGTTCTTCAATTGGTAATTCTTGAATCTTTTACTAGTCGATAAACTAGTGCATTGACTAGTTCAATTGATTAGACTAGCCAACAGACTAGTGCAAAGACTAGTCAATAAAATTGTTCATAGACAAGTACATTAGGTTGTCAACAGATAATTCTATTGAATTGTTCATAGACAAGTCCAAAGACTTATGTAAAGAGCAGTTAATAATCTACTAGGACTACTTGTCCATAGCTAAGTTCTAGACTAGTCCATAAACGATTTTAAATATTAGTTCATAGATTTGTAAGTAAACTAGTCCATAGACTAGAAAATAACTAGACAAAAGACTAGTTCATTGTCTAGTAAGCCACATGCTAGGCAAAGAATAGAGGACTTCACTCTGGCATTATAAGAGTTTTGCAGATAATGGGTGCAAAAAGAGCGTGGCGATATCTAATAAAGATTGGATTCCGTCTTTAGTTTATTTTCTTGTATGTTTAACTGTTCAGAATGATATGACTGTGTTCTTCTACAAATTTGAAGCCAAATTACAAAAAGTGGGCGTAAGAAGGGCGTGCTGTCTAATCAAGATAGGCTACCGCTTATAGTTTAGAGAACAGATTTTGTATTTGTTGTCTTTTGAGAAAAGTTCTTAATTTAGATGTGGGAAAATAAAACTCAATTAAATTTTTGTATATATTTTTGTAATTAGGCTTTATTTTTTATTATTTTTTTTATTTAAATTTTTATATATAATTTTTTTTTCAATTTGCATTTTTCTTGGATTTTCTTTTAAAGGTTTAAACCTGTTTTGTTCATTTTTTTGTTTTTAATAATTTCTATAAATAATTTAATAATATTAAGTACAAATATTTCAATTTGTTTTATTTACGTTTTTTTATTTTTTAATATTTTTTTTATTTTTATTATATAAACTGGGTGCTTAAATTCTTTTTTTTATTTTATACTTTATTTTCGGTTTTTTAACAAAATCATCTTCAGCTAACTATTATTAATAATTTTGTGTTTTATTTATTTTTGTATGGTTAATATACACTAATTATTAAGTATTAAATTAAAACTTAAAGTTGCCTTTTTACAATTGTTTTTTTTTTAAGAAATGTAAACAAATAATAAATTATTAACATTTTGTCATTTTTTAATATTAAACTTAAAAATTTAGAAAAAAAAAATATCAAGTAGTTTTAGTTCTGTTGCCTTATTTTTAAATTAAATTAAGTCCCTTTAAACTTAAAATAAAAAATATTAAGTTAAAGCTTATAAAATACATGATTAAGTTAAGTAATATAATTAAATTTTTAATAATAATAATAATTCAATTTGTGTGTTATGAGAGTCAGTAAATAACAATATTTTTACTTAATTAGTTATATACTATATTAATTTATTAAATTAATTAATAATAAATAACTCTAAATATTTTAAGTTTTGCTTATTATTAATATTTATATAAGTTTTTATTTTTTTTTTGTGTTTTTTTTTTATTAAATTAATATTTACAAAACCTATTTAATTTTTAGTGAAACAAGCCAAATGAAGCCTTTTTGTGCTTTAAGGATTTTTTAGTCCTTTTTTTCTTCTTCTTTATTTTTTTCATTTTATCCGTTAAGGAGTGTGTGTGTAAGTGTGTTTTTTATATATATTTTAAGTGTTAAGTTTTGAAACTAAATTTAATCACTGGGTTTTTTTGTTTTAACTTTCTTTTTATATATTTTCTTTCTGTTAAGTTTAATTTTAGTATGGAACTTTGGAGTGTACTTTTTTTTAAGCCTTTCTTTTAAGGTTTTAGTACTTTTTTTCATATATTAATTATTATTATAAAAAAAAAACAAACAAAATTATATAAATTAGATTCAATTTTGACTAGAACAAGAAAAATACACACTATTTTTTTTAAGATCAATTGCTGTTTTTGAATATTTTCCTTTTTTAACTTTCTCTTTAATTGGTTTGGAAATTTTGATAAAAAAAAAACAAAATAGTTAAACAAATACTAAAGGAAAATTGTTTATAAGTTGAAACAACGCAGTTGAGCAGCTAAAGGTTTAAGCAGAAACTTGCATCTGCTTTCTGGTTAGAGTGACAGTAAGAAACATCACATATTTCCTTTTTTCCGATTTAAACCCCATTTAATGATTTACAGACCATTTAAGGTTTTTCACATAACTTTTGTTTCTATGAAAAATTCAGGTGTAAGCCGATTTTATTTGGATTCTCTATTGGAGCATTAATTAAGAAATTGAAAATTTGTCATTGTAACTGTTTCAGAAACAGTGGGTGTAAAGAGATCAGACACCGTCTATGGTTCCTTTTGTTAAATATCGACTCAGAATAGTTTGAATGTGTTGTTTACAAGTTTGACATAATAATTTTACAAAAAGTGGTCAGCTAATAAGAAGTCCAACTGACCCACCTATTTATACTAAGTATTAAACCATCTATGGCGTTTGAAATGTCGAATCCTACCTATTGCGCAGGTATACGATCCGTTAAATCGAGTAGAAGAAAAGGATCGCATATAGTAACAAGTCGTACATCAGACGGAGTAGGATATAGGCAGAGAAAATGTACGACATGAGAGAGATTCGTTAAATCGAACAAAAGAAAAGGAACGCCCATAGTGACAAATCTGATAGAGGACAGAACAGGTAGAGAATAAATCCCATAAACTCATTTTCGGGAAAGATCCGTTAAATCCTGCAGAGGAAAACCCATATCCGATATCGGACAGAGTTGGACACAGGCAAAGAAAATCGATTCGTTCAGGGAAACTGTGCCGAAGAAAAGAAACGCACATAGTGGAAAATTTGATATCGGACAGAGCAGCATATAGGCAGGGTAAATGTATGACTGTCTTTATTTCGGGAGAAATCCGTCATCAGTCACGCAGTAATGAAAAGACCACATCTGATATCCAATAGATATGGAATTTCGAATCAATCTTATCTTATCTTATTCGGGAGAGATGCCTTAAATCCTGCTGAAAAGGAATGCCTATCATTGTAAGTCTGAGTAGAATGCGGGGAGCGCAAATTTAAAATCTTCTACTCTTCGAGCCAGGATTGCGAATGCAGTAAAGCATCGTGCCAAAACTATTAACGGACTAAGCATTACACGATCTTATGAATATCAAAATAGTCTTAGAATATCGATTCGGGAGACTTCCGTTAAACCCCATAGTTGCAAATCCCATATCGGATAGAACAGGTCATAAACAGAGAAAATGTACGACGTCTAATTTTAGGATCTTCTACAGAAGTCAAAATAGGGGAAATTTAGCCTCTTTGCATGCGAATCGCTTAAACATTGCCCTGTTAACGCAATTGTCAGTATCCGTAGCCGCGTTCGTGAAAGTCCTACCAAATGAGACGACATGAATATGTCGTTGAAAAGCCAAATCAACCACGCCTTCGTGATAGCTGAGGATAACCATCTGGTCTGGGCAGACCTATATAGTTATTGATGTATAATTATTTTACAGCGCGTAAGCGACTAATGTGTCAATATCCTTTTCGATCTGCAATAACATTGCCGATTGTATCTACAGCTCACTTCAAAGTCTGTTTTCCCTTTCTATAAATTTAAATCATAACTGATCCGATTGAAAAGGGCTTTTTGTTCGTGAGCTGGGCCCTTAAAAAAAGTTGTTCTACAATTTATATGTCGTGATATTGTATAAAAAGAAGAATTTTCCTTTTGGAACTTAGTTATTATAACAAGCTGCAGCATTACAGCAACACGAATTGAATTCCTTATAACCGCAAACATTATTTTCCTTTAGTATTTTTACTAACACGAAACCAATTTAAATTTTAAATCACTCTTTCGAACCAAACAATACAACTCCTATAACTTTTTAATGCCTTAACTCTCAAAGCTTTAGGATATTCCTTAAAGATTGTGATAGTGTGAATTTTAGTCTATGATAGTACGAGTATCTATGTATATATGTATATCATGTGATGATCAGTACAATTCTAATGCTAAATACAATTAAATGTTGGTGTGTCTGGTTAGAGTATTTATGGTAATCATCTATTGTTTTTACATAAGTGTAAGTATGTGTCCCTGCCGTCGTTTAAAGTTTTTATTTTTGAGAGTTTTAAGAAAGAGAGAGAGAGAGTTGCTGTTGATTTTAGTACTGGAAACTAGTGTGATTGTGGTTGTTACTATAATTCGCAATTATTTTCGTGTGGCAAGTTAATGTCACCGAAGAATAACTACTAATCCATATTATGGCTTGGAGGACTGTTAGGACCGCCCATCATAAAAGAGGTGGGACTGTGTACGGATATACTGTCTAAATCTAAGGTGCCATCACCCTTTTCTAACATGCCGGAACCATCCTGTTTCATCATCATGCGACGCCATTTAGCACGAGCATTTTGGAACCAGACCTAGAAAATGAATGAATAAAAATACATTATATATAGTTCTCAGATTTCTGGAGATTATAAGTAACTAACCTGCAATACTCTCTTTGGTAAACCTGTCTTTTGTGATAATTGTTTAAGATCTTTTGCATCGGGATTGTGATTTATGGCAAAATACGATTTCATGGTACGCAACTGATGATGTTTAAATGAGGTGCGCATGCGTTTTGTACGCGACGATGCGCTCATATGAGAACCTCGACCAAAATCAAGATATTCAGTATTTAAATCTGTAGAGAGAAAGTAAAAGAATTGTTTAATATGCGTTTTATGTTTAGGGTAGAGAACAGTACTTGCATTTCATACCTATGTTGGCAGTGAGGGCTTCAATTTCTTTGGGTTTCCTTTTGCGTGGTCGCCCTTTTTGCCGTGGTGGTTGTGGAAGACCGGTCATAACATGAGAGGCAGATGCAAATATACTATTAGGAACAATACGTGTTGGATCCGAATGTGGACTCGATGAATCATTCGGAGGTGAACCAAATTGACTTGAGTACGGATATGAACTAGCGCCACCAACACCAGGCACCACTGCCGAGCCCAAACTGGTCGATGCTGTATCACCTTCACGAGCCATAGTATAATGAGTTCTTTATATAAACAGAAAGAAAGAAATGGAAAGGAAAGAAATAAATTTTAAATTGCTGGATTTTAAGGAGATATAAACTTACCTGCAGTAAATGAGAGCATCTATTATGCCATATTGATCACCTTTTGTTAATGGTGTCTGACAAACGACACAGCAAAAACAGGTCACATGAAATACTAAACTTCGCGCTCTCATCACCAGTTCGGTGGCTCCTATTGAGGCTAAACAACGGGAACATCGACGAGTACCAAAAACACTAAAAAGAAAGAAAATAACACATTTTTTTTATAAAAATCACTGCATATGTATTCAAATTGTTTATAAATCCTTTAAAGCTACCGACCAGATTAACAGTTTTGCTTTTTTTAATTCTTTTTACTTTTACTGTTCTTTACAAAGATCTTCCGGTGCATAATTTCTTTAAGCTGCAAATTTTTCATTCATTCAACTCAATCTCTGCTTATCAATTAAATGTAATGATTTGAAATAAATCAATCCAATCCAATTCACTACAATCCACGACTACTCTACTCCCTGCTAACCGATAACAATAACAGTTAACTCCAGGTATTTATAACTGAATAACTGCCTACACATAATAACAACACAAATGATCATCAAACTGATCATAATTATGATCAAAATTACCATTCAATGTATATTTAAAGGTAATTATTGTTATTTTTGTTTTTCCATACAATGGTGTTGGGATTTTTTTACATGAATATAATGATAATGATGTTCGTATATATGTCTGTTTTAAAATTCGTGTTTTTCTGGGATTGTGTAACATTAGTCTTTCAATTTTTATTTTCCAGCGTCATCTTTTTTTTTTTTTTGAAATGATGTGCTTGTAGGAAGAAGGAAATTATAAGTTTGGCATGCAATTTCTGATTTGAAATACATAATCAGGGCGGTAATTTGTCCCTTTTCTTAAGTTGCTACTGGATGTTAGGTTTTGGTGTTATTATGTTTAGATTTGTATTATTTTCGTGTTTTTTCCTTTTTCTTATAAAGATAGTCGTTAACAATATAATATATAATTTGTTGAGAAAGAAAGGGAAATGATCAAGTAGTTTTGTTGATTTTAAAAGTTTTTTAAGTTTGATTTGAAGCAGTTAATAAAATCAAGGTCAATAGAGTTTATTGTAGGAATTTTTGGTATCTTTAAAATTCCCACAATGTTTATAGCAGGTTAGTAACTTGAAAATCTTGTTATTTTTACAAATTTGGGAAAGACTTCCAAATAACGTTTTTAGCAAGGGATTAATAGTTTATAGCGAGTTCTGCTGGTCAGTAGAAAGTGTGGAGTGTGAACATATTCTCAATCTCTTAGAACATATGTGTTCATATTCAAGCGATACTTTTCTATATCAATAGCTTTAAACAAACCACTAGATCTTGTACTGGATCAGAAGCTTCATAATAGGCTTTGAAGCTTTGAAAGGTTACCAGTTTTAGCTGAATTTAAGAGATTAAAATTATCAAATCAGCTGCCTAATTTGAAAATAAAGAGGAGGATATTCTTGACAGTAATATAAAGTTGCCAAGCTTTTCATAGAGAAACGATCTTCTTTGAAGGATCAGTACCTATAAGTACAATACAACGACAATACGATCTTCGCTCAGGAATAGGTCGATTGTCAATCGTTTAAAGATTGTCTACTCAGCAATACATAGATTAAACCCGAAGTTTTCTTGAGCGTAATAGTCTTAAATTTCTTCACAACAGACAACAGACAGACGAAGCAACGGTAACTCCAAGTACATTACCACTACAATAAGGTCTTTGCTCTAGAAGAGCTTAAATCTCAAACGGTCTATTCAGCAATACATGGATCAACCCAAAGTTTTTCCCCATCGAAAAACTTTCTACACGTCAGTTACAGATTCAATTCTGATGCTTCAAGTTGTGAAAGAATTGCGAAGCCAATTTCCCATATTGACACCAAGTACATTACCACAACAATAGGATATTCGCTCTGGAACAGCTGAAATCTCAAACGTTAAAGATTTTGAACTTAGAAATATATGGAACACAGCAATACATGGATTAACCCGAAGTTTTTACCCAGCGGAAACTTTCTACCCGTCAGTCACGGATTCAATTCTGATGTTTCAAGTTGTGAAAGAATTACGAAGCCAATTTCACTCTTTGTACCTTACCACGACATTAGAATCTTCGTTCTGGAATAGCTCGATTCTCGATCGGTTAAAGATTATCAACTTAGCAAAACATGGATCATTATGTTATTGCTGGGGAAAAACTTTCAACAACTACGAGAGAGTTACAACAAGAGCAATAACATAATGTTCAGCTATAGTGAAATTGATGAGAAGAAGATCACTACAAACTTTCTACATAGTTTTAAAAATCTAAACTATATCACACCTTAAGTGAAGCCAGAGTTCCTGATTCTTTAATATAGATGAAAAAAGAAACCGATAACATAACTGTCAAACTCTTGTGGAATAATTTGGAACACCATAGGGCGCTAGGTATGTTTCCTATTAATATCGGAGTTATATTTCAAGCTTTCACCTTCAAAAACGGAAAACTCTATAACTGCTAATACCTTCTATAGATGATTCCAAATTCGATTCATTTCAAATTTAGTATTTTCCAAGTTTTTCGTGGGTTAGTTCTTAAACTTGGCCACCTTCACAGAAAACACTTGATGTGTTTGCTTGTTTGTTCCTCTTGTACTTCACCACGAATACAACACGAAAGATTTTTAGTTAAGATAACAGAATGATAAATATCCAATATTATATGGTCAGGTTTTTTTTATATAAAAAATATATTACAAATAAAAACAAACTTACTGCCATATAATTTTCGCAGTTTTATAGAGGCAGCTGAAGTAGTGCATAAATACGTGCACCAACGAGTTGAGTAGTTGTGTAGAACCAAAAATCATAATGTTGCCTGAGAATGCGAATACGAGTATGAATTCATATGCTCTAGAGATCGGAGGAAAAATACAAAAAAAAAAAACAAGAACACTTTAAGATGTGAATGCCTACACTTTGACGATGACGATGTCGACAATTTATGTCACCTCCCAATGTGTGCATGTAGTATAGTATACATGGACACAATGTTGCATACGAAAAGTTAAACGTGTACATATGTAGGATGAAATGTGTGTTAACCAGATGTGGTTGAGTCGGTAGAAGACGACAGAGTGAATGTAAACAGCAGCATCAGCAGTCATTCCGGCAGGCAGACAGGCAGTCAAGGCAGCCTGCTAACATCAGCAAGTGCACAATATTTTAAAACGAGTCACATCTAAACATCTATCATATGCAACGATTATGATGACGATGAGGACGACGTTGAAGATGACGCTGTAGTTGATGATAATTCGTTACACTTCAGTTTTTCATATTGTTGCTGATGCTGCTATTGCTGCTGTTGATAAAACCAAAATAATAAAACCAACAACTGATTGTGAGTGGTAGCAGCAATAGTACATGTGTTTTTGTAGGCAATATATGTACATATGTATGTTGCTGTGTAACTATATCGTACTTGTATGCAATTGCGAGGACAATTGCCATATTTGTATTTGCCATGGTAAAGGCAGTTGTTTAAAGGTATTTATTTTAAAGGAATTTAAGGAAAAGTAACCCCAAAGAAGAATGTCTCAAGAAGTTAGGCTCTTAAGAAGTCATGTACGAGGTGATACGAGTACTATTGATAGCTGTTTCATAAAGAAAAAAGTACTTTTTCAACGTTCATAATAAAAGAGCCATCTATGAGAAACTTACTTCTTCGAGAAGTAAACTAGTCAGAGATCTTTTAAAAGTCACTGTTCGCATAATAAGATAGCTGTTCTACCATGGAATGGATGTAATTGGTAGCAATCGTTCTGAAATGTATCAATAAGAGAAAGTCTTGCTCTTGTGCAGAATAAATGAGCCAGGGAAAGGAAATCTTCTTCTCTGAGGATTAAACTAGTCAGATATTCCTTCAAAGTCACTGTTCTTAGATCAAAGTTGCTGTTCAACGATGAAATGGATAAAATTGGACAGCTATAATTTAGGAAAAATTTAAAAAGAGTGGGGCTTCGTCCTGTGCGGGATAAAAGAGAGAAGATTCTTCCTGTACGGAGTAAAAGAGTCAACGAAAAGAAACCTCTTCTTTGAGGAGTAAACCCATCAGATAACCTTTAAAATTCGCCGTTTTTCAATCAAAATAGTTTTTTAACGATGGAACGATTACTATGAATTACATTCATAGTAATCGTTACGAAGAGTTTCAAAAAGAGAAGCGTCCTTTGAGGAATAAAAGAGACAGTGATCGTTTTAAAATCACTGTTCTTAGATTAAAATCGGTGTTTAACGACAGAACGGATGCAATTGGTAGCAAACGTTCCGATGATTTTAACAAGAGAGGGGTTTTCTTGTAGAGTAAAGGAGAGAGGAGGAGTAAAACGATAGAGTGAGTGCTATTGGTATCAATTGCTCCGATAAGTTTCAAAAAGAGTTCAGAGTAAAAGAGTCAGAGAAAATATACTTTCTCCTTTGAGGAATAAAAGAAATCCGTGATCATGTTCTCAGAAAAAGCTTTATTAGAAAGCTTTAATAGATTTGGAAAATCTTAAAGAATTGATTCTTTTACATAACATATTTGTGGTTTACGGTAAGTTGTAATCTGGTATGGTTGTTGTTGGTTAGAGAGTCTCCTTTTATGTTGCTGAAAATTATAGTTCTTCTTACTCGTGTCATGTGTACTCTTATTACACAACAGCATCCCATACACTCAATGTACGCATGCATCATGCATGACTGCATATTTGGGAACAGAAATATTGTTAAACATACAAAATTTCAAAAAAAAAGAAACAAAAACCTCTTGGGCTCCACCTCTTTTGGTAATGGTGATATATGTATGTACATAAAGTAAAGTACGAGTAAATGTACATGATAATATGCACATGGATTTATTATGGTTTCTGTGTGTTTTTTCTTCTTTTTTTTTTGGAATTGATGAAACGACCGAAAATGCTATGGTTTTGATGACTTGAAATGTAACTACCAACATGTTGTATAATGGTTGAACTGAGGTAAACCATTCACTTTTAAACTTCAGAAGCTTAAAACAGAAAAAAAAAGAAAACATGAAAAACAAGAGAAACACTTGCAGCATATGACAAACATTTCATATTGTTCATATGTTTGTTGGTTTGTTTGTGAATAGACTGCCTGAAGTGAACATCAGCATGAGACATCAGCATAAGGAATTCAATT